AAACTGAACAGCCTACAGTATTTTTACAGTCTTTATTTTACAGTTAAAATAAATGTTTATCAAATAAAGTCTAATGTTACAACTAATCGGGGATCACTAACTGATAGTTCAGAAAACATAAATGAATCACAGAGTGATGGAGTTATGTTTGGCTTCTGTCTCCAAAGTTTTATTTTTGGTTTTTAATGTTGTGTGATGACGGTGGTCTCTCTCATCTGTCGCTGAGTGTCTGAAATCCAGCCGTGCACATTGAGTTTTTCTATAAACCTTGTTTTTTTTCCATATTAGTGCTAAAAACAAACTTTAAAAAGCCGGTTTGAATTCARACACTCGTGCTCTGACTCCTCCTCACAGCTTCTGCTGGTTTGTTTGTTTGAGTCTCTTTAAAGAATCAGGACTGGTTGGTGTTTTGACTCTAAAAGAATTAACCCTGGTTCTGGTGCGGCCCGAGTCGTGGCGTCCTCGTGGTGACCCCGGTTTCTGACCCGCCTGTGGGTGACTCACCTGTCTGTGTTGCCGTCAGTTGGTCCTGGTGTTGGGCGACCTGCACATCCCCCATCGGTGCAACACGCTGCCGGCCAAGTTCAAGAAGCTGCTGGTCCCGGGGAAGATCCAGCACATCCTGTGCACCGGGAACCTCTGCACCAAGGAGAGCTACGACTACCTGAAGACGCTTGCCGGGGACGTCCACATAGTCCGCGGAGACTTCGATGAGGTCTGTCCTGTCAGCTCTGAACAAATGTTAGAGGGATAGATGCTAACAGTTAGCTCCCAGAGGTTTGAGCATTTTTATGTAGATTAAAGAGACTGTGACCTGCCTATCCTTCAAGGACAAAATATGGGATAAAGCTTGTGCCAGCAGGAACTGAATCTGAATGTGCAGAATTTGAAATTGAATGCATTGGTTTGAAAATTCACTAAATTGAAACTGAATTTAAAGTTTTGTATCTGAATTAATTTTCTTTGAAACTGTATTTTGGTTTATTAAAAATTCAGTTTGACTACTTTCACTTTCAGTTCCATAATTCAGATKTTTGTGTCACATCCTGGTCCTTGAGAAAGCCAGGCAGAGTAATCAAACACAGATCCACAGATTTATGTTTCWCTTTGGTGAAGTTTCCCTTCTGGATGTAACAGAGTTGATGCAATCCACTGTAAAAGTGACAAAAACASACAAAGTTATTTTATTGCAGTGATTAATTTGACCTATATGTAGAAAATGTTACATTTACATGATGACATCATGGATCACATATTGATCAGATGCTGCTGACTGATCCATGATGTGACTCAAAAATCTGAATTATGGAACTGAAAGTGAAAGTAGTCAAACTGAATTTTTTATAAACCAAAATACAGTTTCAAAAAAAATTAATTCAGATACAAAACTTTAAATTCAGTTTCAGTTTAGTGACATTTGTTTTCAAACCAATGCATTAAATTTCAAATTCTACACATTCAGATTCAATCTGAGCAATTCAGATTCACTTCCTGCTGCACAAGATTKATCCCGTAACAAAAAGTCAAAGAAAATATCTTCATATTTAGGAAATTTTGCATAAAACACGTGGTTTAACTGATTTTGTCATGTAAATGGCATATTTTCCTTTGAATTTGGCTTGTCTAAAGTGAAACAGGAAGTGACATCAAAGGAGAACTCTGGTCTTTGTTTATGAAAACAATATTTTTTGAACTCTGACTTTTCTTCATCTCTCTTATAGGGACTAAAATTATCTAAAGAAACATCAGAAGATTCCCTGCTGTYTGTGTTGTTRGCTGTTGTARCAATGCTCTGTTTACATGCAGATGTTCCCCTTTGACATCACTTCCTGTTTCTTCACATGCAAACATCTCAACAACCGCTCATCTCAGTGATGTGAAATTGTTTTTGCAATATGTTATCTTTCCAAAAGTGCATTCATATTTATCACAAAAATTTGATGTCACGGACCCTTTAAGGTCATTTAACTTAGTTAATCCTAACTCAAACTGGGCGGGGCTTTGTGAACAAGCAGGAAGTGGCCTTACTGAGCTCTCCTCCTCAGAACCTGAACTACCCGGAGCAGAAGGTGGTCACGGTGGGCCAGTTCAAGATCGGCCTGATCCACGGCCACCAGGTGATCCCGTGGGGGGACATGGCCAGCCTGGCGCTGCTGCAGAGGCAGCTCAACGTGGACATCCTCATCTCCGGGCACACGCACAAGTTCGAGGCGTTTGAGAACGAGAACAAGTTCTACATCAACCCCGGTTCTGCTACTGGAGCCTACAACCCACTGGAAAGGTGAACTTTTAGACTTTTATTGTGTTTTTTTTTTTWAACAAGAGGTGAAAAGTCTTCATGTCTCATGAGGTTAAACATTTTTATGTTCTTTAAATCTCCGTGTTTAAGGCGTCTTTTCTCCCGTCTCCTTCCAGAAACATCATCCCCTCCTTCGTACTGATGGACATCCAGGCGTCCACGGTCGTGACGTACGTCTATCAGCTGATCGGGGACGACGTGAAGGTGGAGAGAATCGAGTACAAGAAGTCCTAAAAGGTGCGAGGAGGAGGAGGAGGAGGAGGAAGAGTTAACGAGGCTCAGTGAATCGTTTCATTCCTGTCCACCAGGGGGCAGCAGCTCCCTGAGTCACATCAGAACTGAGCCGTGACTCACCTGAAACACCTGTGTATTATAGTGTTTATATGTCATCAGTAGCTCCTTAAATCTTTAGAGAATCCAGACGAAACACATGTTTTGCTATTAAAACAAATATTCGGTGCCATTTATTTTATTTTATTTTTTTGTTCCTCATGTTGTGGACATGTGACCAACTGGCATTTAGTCTCCTGTAGTTCTTCTTTTACTTCACAATAAAATATGATTTCACTCCATCTGCTGCTCTTGTCTGAATATATTCATCTTGGTTTGCTCTGGACTGAACACAGAACTTTRTCTTGGAGTTCCAGGTAAAAAAATCCTGATCAAATGTTATTTAAAAAATGTGTTCAGTCCAGTTCCACACACTAAATAATTTGTTAAAACACAAAAATATTTTTTGTGGAATCAATTTATTGGACAAAAGCACCACTGTTAGAAAATTAAATATTTTTTGCTATTTAAAGTGGGGTTCTGTGTAAAAGTCATGAATATCTTACCTGATGTAGATCTCTGTGAATGACCTCAGTGTGTATGTGGCACCAAGTGTAAAATTAAATGYTAAAACATTTCACTAACATTTTTAATTATCTCACTTTTTGAGTGTCACATCCTAACCAGATGAACCACCTCAACTGGCTCCTGTGGACGTGGAGGAGCAGCGGCTCTACTCTGAGTCCCTCCTGGATGACTGAGCTTCTCAGCCTGTCTCTAAGTATAATGGACGGCAACTAATTATTAAGTGAAAATTATTTTATTAGATTCCTAGAACGTTTAATTTGCAGGAATTCTTTTCAAATCGATAAAAACGTTGCCCTGAAAGTGAATAAGTAAATAAAGCAGGTAATGGCAGGTGCAAGAAGTTCAGACACCAGCCAGAGCAGGTCTGACGTCTTGTTGAGAAGCTTTAGCTGCTTTGGAGCTAGCTGTTGTCTCAGGATGATGACATCATAACATGAGCCGAGCACCAACAGCAAAGGCTGCGTTCCATTCCAAATTTCTAAATGTGAACTTTAACATTTAGGGCCGGTTTCGCACTCAGGGCTTAAATAAAACCAGGACTAAGCTAATCTGGTCTAACTTAATCCAAACTAATCCAACTGCTTTCTGAG